TTCCTTGGGATTGGATGCCTCACACTGGTTCAACAGTACTGGACTCACCTCCGTATGGTAAATGGCCATGACAGCCGTTAACGGTAATCTAGAAACTTGAGATAGTTTTAATACGATTAATGCATCAGTTATATATATATATATACTTCGACGGAGGACCTCGGCAGAGGATTTGATGTTAACCTTGACGGAGGATTTTTTGGTGACCTCGACAGAGGACCTTGACGGAGGATTTGTTTTGATAACCTCAATGGAGGACCTCGACGGAGGATTTGATGTTAACCTTGACGGAGGACCTCGACGGAGGATTTTGTAACCTCGAAGGAGGACCTCGACGGAGGATTTTTGTAACCTCGACGGAGGACCTCGACGGAGGATTTGTTGTTAACCTCGACGGAGGACCTCGACGGAGGATTTGTTGTTATCCTCGACGGAGGTCCTTGACGGAGGATTTGATGTTTTTGTTGGAAATCGGTTCTGGCGGACATCAGACTGCTTGTCTTCGTCCAAACCGATTGACAACATTATCTACATGAAAAAAAGGGTGGGGAGAATGGTAAGCGTTTTGTAACGGTTGTATGAGCTGATTGTTGTTTTTCCACCGCTCCCACCGCTCCCACCGTGTCTTTCTTCTTCCCATTGAACTTGCAAAAGTGCGACGCGCCGAGAGCCAAGAGGGCCAAGAGCCGACAGTCGCCATGGAACTGACCCACAGAGGCGGTCTTCCCTCAACGCAAGAAGCTTGGACGAAAGAAGGAGCGGTCGCAGCGCTGGATCCAACATCAGCCGCACCGTGGAGACCTTTCCGTTTTTCTCGCCCGAGGCGGCAGCTGGAGAGATCGCTTTTTGTAATTTCAAGGCCAGTTGTCGTCGGTCGTGTGGGGGAGTGATGGAGCTCAAAGGCAAGGTGAATTGTTGCTTTGTGGGAGATCAAGACCGCTGCCTAGACGCGGATCCGGAGGCCTGCCTACTTTCCTCGGCCTCGCGATATCAAGCGCCAATCATCCTGTTGTATTGTTGTGTTTTTGTTGCGCGACAAACATCAAGATTGCGGCAAGCTCTTGTTTTTCAAGTGCACTGGGGCCTGGACATGTGGCGTCGCGACTGGAAGTTTCACGTGGAAACTCAGGAGCGCCATGCCACAATTCGTCCCCTCCAGTTAAGAAGTGATCTTTAGTGGCAGATGCCGCCTCCATGTTTTGCGGAAAAACAGGAGCACTAGCGCTAAGTCCTCGAAGATCATTGGCTGCACACCACACACCAATCTACCGTTTTGGTGTGCCTGTCCATTGGCAACATGGGTGTGTACAAGGGTGCAGCTCATGTGATGTTCCAGCTGAACATCACGCTTTTGGACGTCTCTCCTACTCTGATCTTCAGAGATTAGGAGCGTGTTGAAATTGCTCTCTTGGAGACCATTCATTGGAAACTCCTTGATAGAAGCAGTTCGACACGTCCGATCGGACAGACGGACAAATATCCGTTTGGTCCGTTTATTCGGGGGATTCATATGAGTCGGTTTTTGCAGGGAATCCGAAAACATGGAATTGTGCGCTTGGACTATCAAACTATCTGAGCGCCATGAAAATCCCATACTGAATCCTGCGGGAGTTCTGTACGTGGGTTTTGTACCGGCCTTTCTGCATTGCAAACATCCAGTAAAGGTTTGGGAAATTTGAGTTTTCGTGCAAGGTTTTTGCTTTGCCCATTCCATGTAGATAACAAGTCTTTTAGAATAGTTATTTCCTGTAGAGATGAATATTTCATATTAGACGGATTGGAGATCCCTATGGTTAGTGCCTATGCATGACGACTTGATGGGTCGCATGCTGGCACGGCTGGTTGGCAATTATGGCTTGATGGGCCACAACATTGTCAATCGGTTTGGACGAAGACAAGCAGTCTGATGTCCGCCAGAACCGATTTCCAACAGTTTTATCCTCAACGGAGGAATAAACGTACGGCATGTTGCATACGGAAAGTGGCTCGATGCCGACCTCAACGGATGATTTTTTGACAACCTCGACGGAGGACCACAACGGATGATTTTTTGTTAGCCTTGACGGTGGACCTCGACGGAGGATTTTTGATAAAGGCGATGGGATGTAGACAAAAGCAAAAGCAAAAAAGGTGACGGTCTTGACCGAGCAGCTAAGCTCCTTCTATCGTCTCCATCATCCCACAAGCTCTTATTGCGAACAATGTCTTCTCCAAATCTTCCACCCTCTTCGTCGACACTCTTCGCTCCGTCCGTCAACCGTGTACTTCACTGAAGCGACGCACCGCAATGGAAATTGAGACTAAGGAAGAACTAGAAACGCCCATACGTCTCCCGTCTTGCCAATCAATTTTCAAGGATGAACGAATTACGAATTTGAGGCTTCAGTGAAGGCTGGCAGGGTTTCTACGTTGGTATATAATTTACATACGGTATTTTGCAATTCGTTTTCCGTGTGGATTGAGGCAACAAGAAGGCCGGTGCGCTCTGTTGTCCCAGTTATCAAAAGAGATGGTTGGATAGGCAGCTGTTTCACTTGTCAGAAGCAGAAAATTTCCTGTTTTAGAAGAAATCACCTAGAGTAAACCCAACAAAATCCAAGTGTCACTTACTGCAGTCATCAGCCATCTCCACAGAAGCATCCAACAGCTGCTCAAGGCCAGACATTAATAGATAATGGCAATCGATGAATTCGGTCGGGAAGTTCCTGGTAGCCGAGGGCATAGACGCTCTCCATCGCCTCCTCGCTATGGTGACGATGGCACTCCTTCCCATCTCAACGAGGCTCTTCCAACATCTCGATATCGCAAACGGAAGCACCGATCTGAATCTCCTCCTCCACGCCGGAAACAAAGTAAAGTTCATCCGTCCACTCTATACGCAGAGGAGCCAATGCTCTGTCAGTATTTGTGGAAAGAAGCGAATTCAGGCAAGGGTGAGGAGGAGTACGATGATTATAGAAGGGGCTACTGCCTAAACTACGTGCGTACCTTTTTCAACGAGCATATGGACGACTCATGGTTTCGATCGTTGTACAGTCCTCTTGGAATTTACCGAGTAGCAGCTCAGGAACAACATAGGATGATTCAAGAAGCTCAGATATTTGCACGTGAACTGAGGGAATCTGTAGGCAAGAAAAATGCAGAATCTGACCGTTCCATTTTCGTCTTGAATGCAAGGCTTGGCGGGGGTGTGAAACCGACTTCATCCTACTCCTCTTCGCCGTCAAAAAGTAACTCCAATGGAGGCAACACTGTACCCTCTACACATGTTTTCAGCACGTCTGCTCAAGTCATGCAAATCCAAGAAGTTCCACCGCACGTTACGGACGAGCAACTCACGGCTGCTTTGATGAGCCATTGTACTAATGACGCGAAACTATCTGAAATTGTCTTATACTCCTCCACACCAGCTCAGGATCTTACCAGGTCTTGCTTTCTCCAAGCACCGCGTGACGTAAGAAAGGATATTATCCAAAATCTTAATCATTTGGGACGAACAGAGTCCAATCAAAACGGTGCCGCAGATGGGGCCCATGTACCAAGAAAAGAGGACACATACATGCCTAAGACTTTGGAACTAGAAGTTGAATGCAGTGATGCGTATGGTCGATTGGAAATGGACGCAGATGGGAAAGGAACTTCACCGGAAGAGGGCGGTTGCGTTCCAGCAAGAAATGAAGTTGTCTGGGTCTCTACGCAACCCATTACGCCGACAGTAAAGGTTTTGTCTGTGGCTGTGTCTTCAAGGGTACGAATTCAGCAAGACAAGGATGCTGCAATCGAACTGGCAAATGCCTTTGACCACAAGAGGGATGTTCCTCGAGACTGCCGCCTAGGAGTTCTGTTGCGAATAGCTCTTCCAAGATTGCAAGGTAGTGATCTCACCCTGCAAGACACAGAAGATGCATTGGATCTCTCCATTGCGTACTTGAGGCGGGTACACCTTTTTTCATTCTACAATGGATGTGTTGCGGCTTCCAATATTTCTGATGTCTTTCGTGGAAACAACGCAACATCTACTATTCACTTGCGTCTTGCCAACGCAGATGTTATTCTTGAACAAACACAAAACTCGGGGTCTACAGCCAAGCAAGAGCGAAGTCCTAAAGTAGATCTACTCGTGCAACGTTTGAATGATGCCATTGAAAATGCGTTGGAAGAATCCAAATCGTGGGATTCAAGTGGGCCAGAGTATCTCGTCTCCAGGGAAATTGATAGTCAAGCGAAGGATATTGAGAAGGACGAAGCTCGTACTGAAGACGTTTGGATCAAGAATCACGCAGTGATTGATAGCGATGGTCGGGCCCGGTGTTCTTTTCACTTCTGTCGCAAATTGTTTAAAGATATCACCTTTCTCAAAAAGCATTTGCTGAAAAAGCATCCCGAATTTCTCAAAGCGGAACGAGCAAAGTCCCATGATACTTACATGATGGAATCATGGGATAAACAGGAACAGAGACCAGTTCCGCCCATATTGGTAGATTGTGGGCGTGTCTTTTCAACCGTACCAAGTCGCGTGCTGGGTGCTGTTGAACCAATGGCTGCTGATCCAGAACCAGAGTTGTGGAAGCGTCAAGAAGAGCGGCGAAAGCAGGACGAAGAGATAAAGGCTAGGTACGAACGAAATTACGACAATCACAATCAATTGAGCAACGACGGCGGTCCTCCTGCTGCATTGAATCAACCCTTGTTGGAACCCCGAGGTCCACGGCAAAATGGGTTCTTGGACGTGGATGACATGCACGAAGAAAAGGTGGAAATGGCATTTGAAGATATTGAAGTTCAACTACAGCCACCGAAAAAGAAGAAGAAGAAGAAAAAGCTGCTATAGATCTAAGGTATGATTAAAATAGTGATGAGTTCAACGCAACAATCTACAACACGATTACATGATTTTTCAGCTGGTGATGTTGATTCGAATCGCGGTGTTTTCTCGGTGATCGGTTTTTCTCCGACCGATGCTCGGCAACTTAATCTACAGGTGATGCAACAACCCTGAATTATTCTTCGGTATCGTTGCTATTGGAGGCCATCATTAGACGGAAACACTTCTCAAGTAATTCTCTTCCAAATGGAACGTATGAAAGGCAGTACCAGGATATGGAGGCATATTGACTTAGAAGGAGTACAAACAGGACCAATCCCCGTCCCAAGAAGCGGGGCATCAACAAAAGAGCAAATGTGATACTCAGACTCCCCAAGTACATGAATGACGCATTTCGACGAGAAGCGTGAAACATTCGTCGCAATTGGGATCTCGGCCCTGCCAAAAAGAAAGTCCCGCATAGGGAGATGATATTTCCAAATGTAACCGTTGAAACCAAAGGTACGGGATTTCCGACCATTAAGTCCTTCATTCTCAACAGGGACCCGATGCTCAGCAGATCTATTCGTTTTTTATGAATTGTTTCATCGTTTGGTTAGTTCGTTCATTCGTTGATTTGAACAACAGGGTATTTGCAAATGCCGTTGAAGAGAGTGAGCCAAAAGAGCATCAGACGTAACAAAGATTAAGATTTTAAGATGCCTCAGGTGTATCGGCAATGTACTACTTACAGCCACATATCATACAGGTGGCACATCCCAACAATCGCTCTTGAAGCGATAATTCTGGAATCATGTTCACAAACCAATTTGGACAATGCCCCCAAGCCTGCGCGTCTTCTTCTGCATTTCGCTGGGCCCTTGACTCTTCATCTTCGTAAAATCCCAGAGGCTCTTCCACATCTGTGCTTGACAATCTGGCGTAATTCCACATATTCCCTTGTCTCTCAAATGATGGGACAACTTTGAGAATTTGAGAGCATCAGGGATAACGGTTGCTGGGAGTTTTCATCTGATAGTGCGCGAGAGCGCACTTCTTCTGTCTGTTGTTAGAGGGGGGATGGCTCAAAAGTGGAGTTGTTTGGGGGACGTCCCAGTGAGAAAGGAATTCTCCAGCTTCCGAAAAACTAGGCGAAGCCTATATTCTTTCCAATCCGCCTAACCCAACCTTTACAGAAGAGTTAAAGAGAGAATTATAAATGTCTGTAGAAAGGCACTTGAGAGTGCTTACGTGGACCTGATGACTAAGGTCTAGTTCTGTACTCAACCTAAGGAGCTTCTAGAGTCCCAACACCTTGGTTGTTAGCAATGTTGGAAGGAACATGCATTTTGAGGATCGCATCTACTTGGTTTTTCACCGTCAAAGGTCGCCACGGTCATGGGTCAGCCAATGTATCATGTGAAGCTGTTCGACCAGTGTTCAACTGCATGTTTTTGTCATAGAAATTCAAAACGATTTCAACATAGTCAATGTAGAAGTCCACATCAGAAGTCCACATCTTGCCCTTCAAACCATGTAGTGCTTTGTAGTAGGAAGCAACCTCAAGAACTGATTTCAATCGCATTGATATTTGTTGTAGTGCGACAATTGTGCACAACTCTTAGTTTGTCTCAAAAGAAGAATACATCATAGCACAGCAATTGCTTCAAATGTGGAAGTCCCTTGAGAAATGTAGTTTGGAACGGTCGCCAATTGTTGTTGTTGTGTTGTTGAGTGGAAGCAACTTCAGCCCCACTCGTAGCTTCATATTTTGCATTGAAGATGAAGGCATCACCGTCTGAAATATAATATTGCTATGCAAAAGGTCCAAGTAGCCACAATCCAAAACAAGAGATTGATTGAAAATGTGTCTTGTATTGCAGTGAAAGGATGTTGTCAAACCGTTTCACTTGATGATTGTGAAAGTCGATCACATGTCACAAAGTTGCGACCAAAACATTATTCTGTGAATAGAAAACTGTCCGTCTTTTGCCGTAGATTTGCCAATACCAAATAAACTGTGGAAAAAGTTGATCTCAAAAGTCAAGATTTGTGAGAAGGATTGAAAGCTTTAGAAACAGTCATCGCACAAGGGTTAACATTAGAATCAGTTTTTACCGTCGCGCCGTTTGGAATAGATGCTCACGAATTGTTCTGTGTTCTCTTCATGGGCCTGGATTGAACAATACTTCTCTTCATTCCTTGTATCTGCTCATCATCGGACCTTCTTGATCAGAGGTCGATGCTGTAACAAAGTATGAATGATTCAATTGTAGAAAAGTATTGATTAAATAGGTTAGATTGAAAGAGGAGTAAAGAAGGATACGCGTCCGTATCCTTCATGGTGGTAGAGCTGATTACAATCAGAAACAATTCCACTGGAGGGATAGTGGTTTGTCCATCTGGAAGAGAAAACGATTTCCATGTGGAGGATGGTGCAAGTTTTGAGCATCTTGTGGAGAAAACGATTCATATGGTGGATGGTAGGAGTCTTTCTGAGTAGGAAACATTTCCTGCTCATCTGGAGATTGGACGAACCGGTTTTGGACAAGAGATCGATCGCGCTGCTCTTTGGCAGAAGGCATACTGCCTTGGCCCTCTCTGGGGACGGTTCCAACTGGAACGAAGCCTTCCGCTTCTTGATCATTTGCATTGAGTTCCAACGGGAACAAAGCCTTCGCCTTGATCATAATGCGACACTGCGCAGGAGGCATACAGCCTTGGCCCTCATCAGGGACAGTTCCAACCGGAACAAATCATTCCGCTTTTTGATTGTTTCAATTACCTTTTGTTGATTTCAAATACCTTTTTGTCGATTTCACACCTGGAATTACTTGTTGACCAATTGACAGATTTCATAATCGTACACAGCAGCTCTTATGTTCTTGAAATCATGTCATGATAAAAGCAAAGAACTTGAATTTGCCTGATTTGTTGGGAAACATGAGTTTTCAGACTGCGTCTGATTGCAGAAGCTGCTTGCGCTGTTCTTGGAGATTTGCCAGCTGACATCTTGATAATATAAACGTGTCATTTGAGTGTTGACTTCTCCAACGCGTTGATTCAGTGCATTGTTCGCAATATCACTTTTGTTGCATTCAATGTTAGAATAAAGCAAAATGTGCTCTATCGTGAGTGCCTTTAGCTCTCAGAACAAACTCTCTGCAATCTAAATTTGTAGTCAACTGTACAACACTTTCACGACAATAGTTCTCCTGTGTTAGGTATACTTTGAGTGAAATTGTTCCTATTTGATTAATGTTTGGCTTGAATTGATGATTCAATCACAAAAAGTGAGTTCAACGATTTTCCCTTGGAAAATCCCTTGTTTACAGAACTCGATTCGACTTCTACAAGAATTCTGTGTTGAATGCAGTACTTTGGGACATCTTGTATTATTCCCTACTGCATCGTACACAACATCGATATTCCACTTGTATAGGGTCTTCCCCTTTTTGTGTGGATACAGATTGTCCGGCAGACTTGCGTCGAATCACGACATCACAATCAAAGTCCGATCGAACGTGTCGAAAACTTTGTACTTGAATAGTTTCTTTTGGAACGTAAAAACTCATATTTTGTCATATCCCAACACACTCCTGCCATTGTGACAATCACCATTGGCAGCAATGGGACATGCTCTCATTCACTGTTTATTTTGTTTTGTATTTTCATTTGAACATATACATACTTGTCTGACATATTCCTGTGGACCAAGAATCAGATCTCTGAACTTGCAAAACTTCTCACCTTGCAATGGCTTAGTCATAAAATCCGCAATCATATTGTCAGTTGGACAGTATTTGATCTTAACATTTCCTTTCTCAACTTGATCTGTGATAAAGAATAAAACTCAGAAATCAAAAATCAAAAACTAAAAGGTAGAAGATTATTTTCCATGCACAGCACCAAAACCAAACTGTACCAGTCCTACGCGTTTTCTATGCAAAGGAAAACAGTTGTTGTTGCTGAAACAGGAAAGAAATTTACTTTAATATGAAGGATAACATCGTCAACCCGCCGGAGAAGGATCCGAATTTGATCATGTCTGTAGCTGACCAAGGTCAGGGATGTCTCGAGGAAAAAACCCGATCAAATTTGACCACTCAATCGTCGATTGCTTTAACAAAGGATAATCCTGCCATCACGACTCCCAAGCGCAGCAGCAAGCAAAACCCTTCAGAAACCGCCAAGGATGGCGCAACGAAAGGCCGCCCGCTCTTCCCACGTAACGTGACTGACTGGACTGCCAAGTCCCAAGCAGATGTATTAGAGCGATCGGAGGCCAACGGTCATCGCCGAATATTCGGCCCAAGATCAATCATTCATCATCTACTCACAGCCGCTTCAGACCCCCGTAAATACACCCCAATAGCAATATCAATCACCGTCTATCATGTCCAACAGTAGCTACATCAATGCACTAGTATGCTCTCTCTACGATGAGAGCCAGGAGCACAACCATAGCACGTTAAGCCCATCCAAAGTTCCCCAAGGTCAGGACGTCACGGTCAACACTCGCCCGAATCGGACCACTCCTTCATCGATTGAGTTAACCAAGGACAATCCTGATTCCACGACTTCAAAGAGCCAACGCAAGCAGCCCCCTCCTTCCAAAACCGCCGAGGATGGCGCAGTGCAAGGACGATCGCTTGTTGCCTACATCACAAAACTCAAAGTGTCAAAGTTTTGCAGGCTCTACAAGAAGGCTTGGAGGCAGGAGATGTTTGCTCTCGCAACGGCCCAACGCGTTATCACTACTGACAAAAAGTCGCCTCGCTTTTGGGAATTTTTGCTCGTGTTCGACCCAACATTAATTGTTCAACGCGCCAAGCCGTTGACTTGGATGCGTCTAGCGCCATCCAAATTCTATGCTAATCTTGCTATCATTCCTCACATTGTGGAGGAATTTGAGCGACTAAAACGAGAGCTACAAATAGCCAAAGCTCAGTCCAAGTTTCCACCAGAACAAGGCTGGAACCAGACCAAACTTCTTTGCTATTTACACACAACAACAATCCTATTTTATGACGTCTGCGCTCCCTCCATTGTTCTCCAACACGACAGGGTGTCCACACCACCTGACGATTAACGGTCACCACCACCATCAACACCACCGCAGCAGAGAAAATCTCCACCATCACCAGATGAGGGAAATCCGCATTTGTCACCACCACCGGAGGACGGAAAATTTGCATCAGAGGTAAACTCAGTGCTGTCAACCTTGTCCTATGCCTCTTCCCACAGAGTGGCACAACCTGGGGACGAAGACTTTGAGAGCGATAAAGAGGAAGCTCTGTTAAGCCCTGTCTCTGATGCCAAAGATTACCCCATGCTCAATTGCAACCCAAATTCCAGCTACACCATTCTGGAGTTACCAGCTGAATTGGTTGAAGGTGATGAAGCCTATACAGAGGGCAATGCTGCGGTTGGATATTATAGGGGCAAAAAGGACAATGCAGAGACCCTCCAGGAAAGGGACATTGACTATGATGACATTTCTGCTGATGAGCTTGACTGGATATACTGGATGGGACGTAAGCTCTTGGAGGACCACTTTCCCACCAAAGGTTTTAAGGACCGTAAACAGGTTCTCTCTAGAGTACAAGCCCTGGAAAGATCCGGGGAGGGGTCACAAATTGATGCTTTGGAAGAGGAGAAGGCAAGGAATGGAAGGAATGGAAGGAAGAAAGTAGGTCTTCCTGAAGAATTCCCTAACTCTTGGAAACCTGCTGAAAACAAGAGGAAGAGGAAAGCTAACACTGGACTTTCCACAAAACAAGGCCAGTGGAAATCGGGCTCGTTCTCCCATGCCGAGAACAGCTTGTTTCCAAAGACCACTTCTTTTTTATTGTTGCGTTGACCACGAGCACGGTGGATTGTGCATAAATAGGCAAGGGTTTGCAGGTTCCACTGAGACAAATCGATGTTCTGGACAATGCAATCGTACTTCAGTGGAGACTCAACCTCCTCCATCTCGGTGTCGCTGTTGTTGTTGACAATTGGAGGGTCCAAATCGTCGGATTCCTTTTTCGATCGAATTTCGGCGGTTTCGGCTCGGCTTTTTTGCAAAAAACTGATGCGACCCTGAGTAAGAGCCGTAGAATTAACAGGTTTATCAGCGATTGCCACTTTCTTGTTGTTCTTTGACTTTCCCATTGTCAGTTTTGATGCAAAAAGGAGGAGCGAGTTTCGTTTCGCTACAGAAAAATCGTGTAGGCGAAGTACCAAAAGTGATGTTTTGAGGACCCGGATATGCGTGTTGTTTTTGTATTTTTTTTTTTCATTCGAGATCTTCTGCCTGCACGCCGTGACCTAGCGGCAGACGACCTGGGGCCTCTCATGGCCCTGCCGCGAAGCGAGGCGCTCCGCGGCCGGCCGAAGAAGGCAACTTAGCAGATCCGCTAGTACCGGATTTGCCAGATGGAGAAGGGAGAAAGAATGGGTGTACACCTCCCGGAGATGCCACTGTCAGAGATGAGAGGCTCTCGTCCTGGGACACAGCTGTAGTAGTATCACCCTCCATCTGAGTTGTGTCCACCTGGACCTGAGACATGTTCCGAGAGCGCTGCTTCGGCTGCTGAAAGTGAACAGACGTGCTGGTACGAGTTGACATAGTGGGCGGCTTAAGACCAGCCTTAGACCTGTCAACGCTCCTCTTAGTCGTGGAAGTATCCTTGCTTTTCCTCTTTTTTGGTGGCGTAGTGAATTCGGACCGATCTGGAGATACCTCATTGTTTTGAGCAGGTGGTTGCGA